TATGGAATCATTGTCAGGTAGTGTAGATTCAAGTTTGTTCAAATCATGACCCCTTGGGTAGGGTGGGTTCACAGTGGACGATCAAAGTTTTACATAGGAATATGTAGGAAAAATCTTCTAAAATCTTCTTCTCAAGAACAGCAAAGCAATGATTGGACATATTTATGTGAAATTATCCTCAGGTGGTGTAGATTCAAGTTTTTTGTACAAATCATGACCCCGGGGTAGGGCGAAGCCACAATGGACGATCAAAGTTTAACATAGGAGAATATACTAGGTGACTCGTAAAAATCTTCTCAAGAACAGCAAAGCTATGACTGGTCATATTTATATGGAAGCATCCTCAGGTGGTGTAGATTCAAGTTTGTTCAAATCATGACCCCTGGGGTAGGGTGGGTCCACAGTGGACGATCAAAGTTTTACATAGGAATATGTAGGAAAAATCTTCTAAAATCTTCTTCTCAAGAACAGCAAAGCAATGATTGGACATATTTATGTGAAATTATCCTCAGGTGGTGTAGATTCAAGTTTTTTGTACAAATCATGACCCCGGGGTAGGGCGAAGCCACAATGGACGATCATAGTTTAACATAGGAGTATATACTAGGTGACTCGTAAAAAATCTTCTCAAGAACAGAAAAGCTATGACTGGTCATATTTATATGGAAGCATCCTCAGGTGGTGTAGATTCAAGTTTGTTCAAATCATGACCCCCGGGGGTAGGGCGGGGCCACAAAGGAGGATCAAAGTTTTACATAGGAATATGTAGGAAAAATCTTAAAAATTCCTTTTCTCAAGAACAGCAAAGCTATGATTGGTCATATTTATATTGAAGTATCCTCAGATGGGGTTGAATAGAGTTTGTTCAAATCAAAATCCCCGGGGGTATGGTGGGGCCACAATGGACGATCAAAGTTTTTCCAAAGGAATATATAGGAAAAATCTTTTAAAATCTTCTCAAGAACAGCAAAGTCATGATTGGTCATATGTATATGGAAGCATCTTCAGATAGTGTAGATTCAAGTTCAAATCATGACCCCCTGGGGGTAGGGTGGGGCTACCATGAAAGTTCAAACTTGTAGGATAAAAAGTTCACACACAAGAAAATATGGAAGCATCCTTATTTAGTGTAGATTCAATTTTGTTCAAATCATACCCCACCCCCACCCCCTTTTTAAAGGTAGATCGGGACCACTTATGCATATAAGCTTTTCAATGCTAAACTGATTTTTGCTTTTTACCTAGCCACAGTGCTCAGGTGAGCGATGTGACCGCAGGACCTCTTGTCTGATAACATTTTGTCTGTTGTCTGTCTAGCTGTCTGTCTGTCTGTAAACTTCACACATTGACTTCTTCTGAAGAACCAGGGTGCCAATTTTAACCATACTTGCCAGAAAGTATCCTTACGTAAAGGGAATTCAAGTTTGTGAAAATGAAGGGCCACGCCTTCTTCCAAGGGGAGATAATTATGAACTAGTGAAAATTTAGTACCTTTTTAGCTCACCTGAGGTGAAAGCTCAAGTGAGCTTTTCTGATCACCCATTGTCCATCGTCCTTCTGTCCGTCTGTCTGTCTGTCCGTCCGTCTGTAAACTTTTCACATTTTCAACTTCTTCTCAAGAACCACTGGGCCAATTTTAACCAAACTTGGTACAAAGTATCCTTGGATGAAGGGGAGTTTAAATTGTTAAAATAAAGGGCCAATTCCCCTTACAAGGGGAGATAAACAGGAAAAGACAAAAATAGGGTGGGGTCATTAAAAAATCGTCTTCTCAAGAACCCCTGGGCCAGAAAAGCTGAAACTTATGTAGAAGCATTCTAGGATAGTGCAGATTGTAAATTGTTAAAATCATGACCCCCGGGGGTAGGACCGGGCCAGAATAAGGAATCCAAATTTTACATTGAAATATATAGGGAAAAACTTTAAAAATCTTCTTATCAAGAACCACTGGGCCATTAAAGCTGAAACTTATGTGGAAGCATACTTGGGTAGTGTAGATTCTTAATTATTCAAATCATGACCCCCAGGGGTAGGGCAGGGCCACAATAGGTATTACAAGGGGGAAAACTGGTAAAGAACAGCATGGCCAAAGTTACTCAGGTGAGCGATGTGGCCCATGGGCCTCTTGTTTCAAAAGTTTTCTTCTCAAGAACCAGAGGACCAGAAAATATGAAACTTATGTGGAAGCATCCTTAGGTAGTGTAAATTCAATCTTGTTTAAATCATGACCCCTGATGGGTAGGATGGGGCCACAGTGGGGAATCAAAGTTTTACATAGGAATACACAGGAAAAAATCTTTAAAAATCTTCTCAGGAACAGCAAGGCCATTATCGATCATATTTATGTTGAGATATCCTCAGGTAGTGTAGATTCAATTTTGTTCAAATCATGACCCCCGGTGATAGGGAGTGGCCACAAAGGGGGATCAAAGTTTCATTTAGGAATACATAGAAAAAAAAATCTCTAAAAATCTTCTGATGAAGAACAGTAAATTGGTCATTGGTCATTTTTATATGGGAGAATCCTCAGGTTGTGTAAATTCATTTTTTTTCCAAATCATGACCCTCAGGGGTAGTGTGGGGCCACAATGGGTGATCAAAGTTTTACATGGAAAAAAATCTAGAATCTTTTTTTCAAGAACAGGAAAGCCAAGATAAGCCATATCTTTACGGAAGGATCCTCAGGTAGTGTTGTTCAAATCATGAGCCCTTGGCGTAAGATGTGGCCCCAGTTGGGGATCAGAGTTACACAAAGGAATACTTAGGAAAAATCTTTTAAAACTTTCTACTCAAGAATAGGGAAGCATTGATTTGATCTTTATTTAAGGAAGCATCCTCAGGTAAAGTAAATTCAAGTGTGTTCAAATAATGACCTCTGGAGATAGGGTGGGGCCACAAAAAGGGATCAAAATTATACATAAGAATCATCTTCCTAAGCCAACGGTTTCTGATCTGATCTACTCTGCTCCACATAAACCCTTGACTGAATAGACTAGGTTTGACAAGGTTAGAAATGGGCTCTCTGATTGGCCTCATACAAGTTTGCATGAGCCAATCAAAAACATACATGACACTAAATCCTAAACAGAAAAAGCATGCCAGTTTTAGTTCCACTGAAAACGTCTTTACAATTAAATAACCCAGTTAAAGGTTAATTTCAGCTTCTTTGTTAAAGTTATGTTGAATTTTTACCGACTTCCAATATTGTCTCACATTCTCTGTTTAATTCGCTTACTCTGATTGGTCAAAAGCAGAGGTCAGTTCAAAATGTGTAATCTCACTAAATAGTAAACCCTGTCAAACCTAGTCTATTCATTCAAGGGTTTATAGGGAAAAGCATTATAAATCTTCTCAGAAATAGCAAAACCATGATTGATCATATTTATAATAAAATATCCTCAGGTAGTGTAGATTTACTTTAGTTCATATCATGATCCATGGGGGTAGGGTGAGGCAACAATAGAAGATCAAGCTTATGGAAAAGATCTTTTAAAATCTTCTAAAGCCATGATTAGTCAAAGAAGGTTTGGGTGGGTAGCAGGTAGGTTGGGGCCACTAATACAGGGACAGCATCGTTTTTGAAAAGGGGGGGGGGCAGCCAGAGAAAAAAAGGAAAACTGTCCAACTTCAATCTTATTTCAATACCAAATTTTATTCATACACTCCAACATTACCCTTATTTGACTATACTGCAAAAAAAAAAGTGTGTTGGTGGTTGGGGAATGCATCTCCTCTTTCAATGTACATTTTTAATAGAAAAAAATATGTTTGGAAAAAGTGGGGGGGGGGGGGGAGGCAACCGCCCTCCCTATTGTTACGTGCCTGTTATATATATATATATATATATATATATACACACATATATATATATATAACTTCTGAATACTGAACTGATTTCTGCTTTTTACTAGCCAAAGTGCTCAGGTGAGCGATGTGGCCCACGAACCTCTTGTCTTTTTTTTTTTTTTGGCTTTTTACAACACTCTTTCTGAATTAAAGGAAAGGAAAATTGAGACTTTTGCCACATTTCTGATACTCTTTCAAACTGTGACAAATATAAATTTTTACTCTATAAATACATAACTTTATTTCACTGAATATTGAAAATGTAATAAATATGTGTACTACATTTATAGATGTACATTTGCAGTACGTAATTTACATGTTGTTTTTTTTTTAATAAATGCATAGCTAAAACCAAACAATCAAGATGGAAGCTTTCATTCGAATTCTGTAATTTTGAAATGAAGGCACAATTTTCTTTTATTAAAATAAATAAGCTGAAGAGATGTTTGTTTGTAAGAATGGTAAATAATAATATAATAATAATATTCTTTGTTTTCTTTCCACAGACCACAGAAACAATATGAATAGAAGCTGTACAGTTGCTACCAGATACAAGAAATCAGTGTGGTATAGTCATTTCTCTGTTACACTATATAACTGTGTCACAATACACTGTAGATCATACCTATCTATAGAGTGTGGCACATCATCACAAAAATCTACATTTAATACTGCACAGTGTTGTAACTTTATAAAGAAAACAGTTTATCATGGTTAAGTATGCTGTTATAAAGTTGATGCATTCTACTGGAAATAGTTGACTCTGTTTAATATTTCAAATGAATTCATATTATACATGTTACCTATAAGAATTCAAAACCAGTTTTCAACATTGTTTTAATTTATAGATATTGATTATTTTGATCAGACTTATGGCGAACCGTTGGACCCTACTAGACAGAGATATTTAAAGGATTCATTTCTCAGTGTAAAGGTATTTGTGTTTATCTGTGTCTTATTTTAATTCTTTATGTCATTAAAACTAAAACATTGGTGATATGCCTACATTATAAAGAGAGACTTGTTACTGATGTAGATAATTCTAGTACAATGTTGTAATTTACAGAGAGACGATCTCCCTGACTGAGGAAATCAACGCAGGATTCTGTTATAAAACCCCAGGATAAAGATGAAATAACTGTCTGCTCTAAATGATGTCTAGATCAGTGTTACAGAAATCTGTCACAGTGCCAGGTGTTAGTGATTGTAGTCACATTTCCCGTGTAACATCAGACCGGGTCTGGATCAGCGATGAAGAAAATCTCGTCTTGACAAACACAGCAGGTGATAAACTACATCATCTGACAGATATAGTTAGTTATTATGGAGGACACACTGTGAACGGTGATGGTGATTTAATTTATATAGACAGTCACGGTAACATCAACAAACTGTCTACAGATAACAAAGTAAAGACTACATTAATAGAGTACACAGCATCATGGTATCCACAGTGTGTCTACAGCTCCCCCTTCACTGGAGACCTGCTAGTCGGGATGTATAATGATGAATTAAAATATGCAGAAGGCCAGTTAGTCCGGTATAACTCCACAGGAGAACACATCCAGACCATACAGTACGACCAAAACAACACAGGTGAGGAACTGTATAGGGATCCTGGATACATCACAGAGAACCGCAATGGAGATGTTATTGTGTCTGACTTGTACCGTGTTGTGGTGACAGATCGTGGAGGGAGTCATCGCTTCTTCTACACAGGACCTCCATCAGGATCAGGACTATTTCCACAAGGAATCTGTACTGACGCGCTGTCACACATCCTGGTGTGTGATCATTACACCAAGTCAGTACAGATGTTAGACAGTGATGGTCACTTCCTGTCACTGATACAGACATCACCATACGGGATAGACACACCACAGGGCCTGACTTATGATGATAACACACACCTACTGTGGGTAGGGTCATTCATCAACAACACAGTAAAAATATACAGAGTGATAGACAGAGACTCTCTGATTGGTAAGTATATATTATTATAGTATGTTTTGTGTTTTGTTTTATAACATCACATGTCTACAATATGATTAAAAAGTTGTTAATTAATTATTGGGGAAGTCTTTGTTGAATATTTAACATAGTGAATTATTTTAACTGTAATTAAAAGCTGTTAGTAAATAATTGTAGTCATTTTTTAAGTTTATACAATTTATTAATGAATAAGTTTAGTCATTGTTTTTTTTAAGTATAAATAATGTTACGTTTTATTAGTTACAATTTCTTGTATGATTAATAAAAATGACTTTAAAAGATTAGTCCTCGCATACATGAATTTTAAATGATTCCTGATTGTTTTGGTAATATGCTATAAATTAATTAGGTTTGTTTTGTATTCATTCTTGGTTTGGGAACATTTTTTCTTGAATCTTGGAGAGATTATGTATTAGATACAAGTCTATCAGTAAAATATAAAAATCATACTTGACACAGATTCTGTATACCGGTATGTATACATGTGTGTATATTAAAAGCACTACTCTGAGTGGATATATACAGGGTAATATCTTTTGTTGGATAAATCTGTTCTAAGATGATGATGTTTAAATTGAAATGTTAAACCTTTGTGTTAATAAATACTTAGTTTTGTGATAAATAAGTAATTTGTTTCACTGAATATTTGGTTTAGGAATGCTTTGTTTCTGACACAATGTGGCAGTTAGATCAAACTTTACATGACACATTCAGATTCTGTGCTTTGTGTATGATATATAGAGTTCTACTATGACTGCTTCATGATTATTACTCAGTTTGTTGTCTTCTCTTTGGTCTGAATTGCCATTAAATTACAGCAGGTTAACTTTATATAGGTTACAACTTAAGTAAGTAATAGAAGCTGGGGGTTACAGTAGGTTACAACTAAAGTAAGTTATAGAAACTACCTGGGGTTAGTGTTGTGAAATGGGGTATAATGAATGGAAAATTCAGTGACTTCAATACTCTACAGAACAGATCTGACATTTTATTACTGTTGTTGACAGTTAGATATAAACATCATTGTGTTGTCTATTATTATTATTGTTGTTGTTGAAAACTTCCATGGTACAACTTAACTACTATGATTATGTATCTATTTTTGGTATGAGTTAACTCCAGTGTTTCTCACTTCCTGTTGACCTGCTTGACCAGCCCTGGTGCGGCTATTTCTTAATTAGAAATCCTAATGCATCAGATATTTTGAGTGCCTAAAACCACTATCTTTTTAACAAACAAACTCGCGCACTCATACTGTGTACACTCATGACCAACACAACATGAAGAATAAATTTATTTCGTGTGACTTTGACTTCGCATGTCTTGTACAATGTCAATGGTTAGCTATCTGCCTGCACCAGGCAGAATAGTAAAAAGGTAGTGGTTTCGTTACTTTCACATGGCTGACGCCCTTGGTAGACGAGTACGGACATTAACAGAGAAAGGCCAAACCATGTTTCAAGAACAGTGAAAAAACTAAAGGGAAAAGTGGACAGAGCATGGAATGAAGTAGAGGATGTCTTAGTAACTTCAGGCTCGTGTGAAAAAGACTTCAGAAAAATAAGGGAAGTAGAACGATTACTCAATGTGAAATTTAAAGAATTTTGTATTGTCTCAGAAGATTACAAGAAATATCTTGATTCTCAAAACACTGAAGATGCTCGCAATATGTGGAAAGAATTTGATATGTTTGTGAACAAGTGTATTTCAATAGTGAAGAAAACAAGTAATGAACTTGAAACAACAAAATTTAAATTACTGGAAACATTATCTCATGTGTCAAGTTCGAGCAGTCTTCAGATAGCTAAAGCACAAGCTGAAAAGGCCAAACTAGAACTTATTAAAAAAGAGGGTGAACTTTTAAAACAAAAGACCGACATTGAAACAAAAATAAGCATTGTTCGACAAGAAAAAGAAATTCTCTCAGCGGAAGCAGATTTATCAGAAGAAAATAAAATAGATCTTCCAGTTTCTACAAAAGAACAATTGACCAGTGCTTATATAATGAACCATCATTCTGCAAATACTGGTATTGACAACGTTCAACAAAATCAACCAAGCTTTGAACAAAACCCATCAAACACAATACACAACCCACCCACCAGTGTGTATAATCCTGCGAGTGCCTATCAACTTCCTGTCTCTCAAACTTAGCTATGTATGTGCCTCCAAATTCTGTGCCACAAATGTTTATTCCTTCAAATTCAGCGCCGCCATTGTTTATACCTCCTAATCCTGCTCCTCAAGTAGTGTCTAATACTTCAGCAATAACCGACTTTTCTAAGTTTCTGTTGCGCAAGGATTTTCTCCTCACACGATTCACAAACTTTGATGATTGTCCAGAAAGTTTCAACTCTTGGACTTCTTCATTCCGCAGCATTGTATCAGAACTTGGAGTCACACCATTTGAGGAAATGGATTTACTCGTGAAATGGCTGGGCCCAGAATCGTCAAAGTTTGCACGTACACTACGCTCAGCAAATACCCACGATCCACATCTGGGATTGAAACGCAGATGGGATAGACTGCATGATAGATATGGAAGACCAGAGATGGTTGAACATGCTCTTTAAAGAAAAATACACTTGTTTCCAAACCTCACAAATAGAGATCATGCCAAATTATATGATCTAGTGGACATTCTTACAGAAATTGAATCTGCTATGGCAAGTCCACAGTATAACCTTCTTCTCAGCTACTTCAACTCTTCCACTGGAGTTCTACCGATAGTAAGCAACCTACCAACATCTCTACAAGATAAGTGGACTACTCAAGCTGCTGGATATAAGAAACGGAATTGTGTTCCATTTCCCCCATTTTCATACTTTGTCAATTTCATCCGTGAAATGTGTGATATGGGTAATGACCCAGGACTTATTTGTCAACAGTCCACAAACCCACAGGTAGCATACAGCAAGCCTAGATCTACTGGCAATGTCACCTCTCGTAAAGCTGAAATTTCGTCACTAACACCGCCAACTCGTTGCCCCATACACAATGCTGGACATACACTGAATGAATGCCGTGGCTTCAAAAGAAAATCACTACAAGAACGTCAAAGGATTCTACGTGAGAAGAATTTGTGTTTCCGGGATTGTGCTTCACAGAATTATATGTCTAAAAACTGTACTGCAGATATAAAATGTGATATATGTGGTAATTCTCGTCATGTCACAGCGATGCATATTGATCGTTGTCATCAAAGACCTCTGTCACACACTGCCGTAACCACAGTCAAAACTCCTTCGGACAATGGAGGGGAGCTATCTCCAGAAAATGATGAAACAGTGAAATCGTGTTGTACTCAGCTGTGTGGAAATTCTGTTGGTGGACGTTCATGTAGGAAATTAGTTCTGGTGGAGGTGCTTTCTACTTTAAACCCAGAGAAAACAATTCGTGCATATGCTACAATCGATGACCAAAGCAACCGTACTTTAGTGTCCCCTAACTTGATCAAACAACTTGATGTTTCGGGAGACTGTAAGTCCTACACATTTACCTCATGCTCTGATGTATCTACATTCAATGGACGCCTTGTGAATGGATTGTGTGTGAAATCCTTAGATGGAACATCATTTAACTTACCTGAAGTTATTGAATGTGATTCAATTCCAAGTGATTACCTTGAAATACCTACTTCAGATGTCGGTGATTCATATCCGCATCTACAATGCATTGCATCGTTCTTACCATCCTTTGATCGTACAGTTAATGTTGAAATCCTTATTGGACGTGACTTACCTGATGTACATCATGTGCATGACCAAATAACTGGTAGCATAGGTCAGCCTTTTGCCCAACTTCTATCATTAGGATGGGTTATTATTGGTGAATTTTGTATTGGAAAAGTTCATCCCCCAAAGGAAGTAAATGTAAACAAAACGCATATTCTCAATGATGGACGGTGTACCACCTTCTTATTGTGTCAGAATAACATCAGTGTCAAGGACAGTGATAACAGCATATTCCTACAAACTCCATTTGACAACAAGATTGGACTTTCTGTTGATGACCGCAAATTTCTCACTCTCATGGATGAAGAGTTTCATAAGGATGCTGAAGGCTATTGGTCTGCACCGCTCCTTTTTAAAGATTCTAAACCAGCCATGCCAAACAATTATTCACAGGCCTGAAAACGTGCTTTGATCCTCAACTCATGTCTGCAGAGAGATCCTCACAGAAGAGAACACTTTTCTGCATTTATGTCAAAAGTTTTAGCAAGCGGGGCAGCCGAAGTTGCCCCATCTGACATACCCGGGGAATGCTGGTACTTACCTTTTTTTTGGGGTGTACAATTCTAAAAAGCCGGATCAAATCCGAGGAGTTTTCGATTCATCTGCTGTGTACAAGAACATTTCGTTGAACAGTGTGTTAATGTCTGGACCAGACTTAACAAACAACCTTGTGGGAATCCTCATGTGAGGATGCAATAGCGATCAGTGGTGACATTCAGCAGATGTTTTATGCATTCCGTGTTCATGAAAAACACCGTGATTATCTCAGGTTCTTCTGGTATGAAGATAACAAGTTGCTGTCCTTTAAAAAAGGACTGCAATACGTGGACGATATGCATGACATTGTGTTTCTAAACGAAATTCAAAGAAAATTTCTAGATTTAGTGACTTTACAAAGGTGTAATTAATTTTTTTTTACTTGTATCTTGTTATTTTCATCGTTATTTAAGTCTGCTTAATTAGGCTGTAATGATAAAAAAAAAATCATGACCTTGAAATGATATGAATATGAAATGTTGATCTAGGTATCTATCATAATTGCAATATAGCCTTTAAAATTAACAACAGAATTAAATGAGGCTGTAGCTAGCGTGCAGGTATCGTAATGGTTGAATTTTTACTCCATTGGCGGATCCAGGGAGGGGGGGGTTCGGGTGTTGAAACCCCCTTTATTTTTGCAGAAAGAGGAAAAGAGAGAATTTTTTTTTCTGAAATATATATAAATATTTTTACGTTTAGTATTTTCAATAAAATAAGTACTTCAATCTCTGCCCTTTCTGCTCTCTAGATAGAGTTTTGCTGAATGCTTTCCTCCGTGTACCTTCACAACCCCGGCCCCGGGCCTCGACCACCCACACGTAACATGAAAGATTTTACTTTGATATCATCGAAAGATTCCGGCGAACGTACGGCTATTCCATTTTTGGACCATCTTCTAAAGTAACCAATTTTGACAAGTATGCATAAAAAGTCATGAAAGGGAGTATCCATAAGAAAATATTTATCTCCATATATTATGGGGATATTTCAATCAGTGAAGAGAAAGGTTCAAAATGTCCCCGTAGTTTGCAGGGGAAGGGGGCTCAATTTTTCCTAAAAAATAATTTTTTGTCATAATTTGAATATATATAAGTTTTGATTTGCATTGGAAGCCCCCCCCCCCCCCCCGCACGTTTTGTTGCGGGAAGGTTCAAAATACGGAAGATCACACAATTAAAAAAATCAAAATATACCGAAAAGTTAAACGAAGCCCCCTCCCACCGAAATAGGATTTTACAGTATGGTGCACAGGTTGTTATTTTAAATTATTTATTCATTTTTGCTTGTCAACTCTTTTTGGAGATTGCCCCTTTGAAAACCGTACGGGTTTGAATGAAAGTGCCTGCGGTGTGACCTAGACCGCCCCCCTTTCAAAAACTGCTAGATCCGACCCTGTACTGGAACACTAGAGGGTCTCGGCACTAGAGGGTTCGAGTTACCTAAAACGATGCTAGGTTATCGATAAACTCGATAAATTTGAAAACACAAAAGATTATTTTGGGTGTGTGTGTTTGTGTGTTTTCTCTGTCTCTTTTTAAATAACGGAATGGTTAATATACAACACATGCAATCGTAACTTCTCGGCAAAACAATGTGTTTTTCCGAGTTCGCCAGAAGGTCTGAGAAGATGCGATTGACAATCCCATCGCACGTATGTAGACCTAGGCTATTTGGTCTTGCAAGCACAGGTGCCGGTGTATGCACTGTTTGCTGACGCTTAGACTGGTGACGGTATTTGCTACGGACATGAAGAACTATCACCAGTTTCATAACATGTGCAGTTTTTTTTGGTGAAAATTGGAGTAAATTAAAAGTCGAATATCTTGGATATGGGGAACCCATATTTATTCTTGTTACAACGACCGTCAATGCATCCATGGACGAGTTCATTGGTTACTTTGAAAGGTGGCACAGGTTTACCTTTCGTTAACAATCTGCCTACTTTGATTGATTGTACTTTCATAGCAACATTGTTAAATTTTATTCCCGATTGGCCTTTAGTTTTGTCATTTAAAAAAATCGGGCTATTTCGATACATGAAATCCATAACGGCTGGGACTTGACATCTGTACTAGATTTATACAGAAGATATTCTATCATTGGAAAGATAGATGGTACACGTGTAGCACAGATCTGTAGAACGCAGAATTTTTTTTATGTTTCTCCCTCTCCCCCACATGGAAAAACGTTGCTACAGGCCTTTCTCCATCTATAATTGGATTGCTGTCCATCAAATTATTTTGCGAACCTTGATGCACAAAGCTAATGCCGGTAAATATGGTAAAGACTATCTTTTAAAACCAAGTAGTTGAATTAAGTTTTTAATTCAACATGTTCTTGAAAGCTGTTAAGCTATCCATATAAGTTCTTCCTACTTATTTAAAATGCTTGTACCATAGAATTTAGTTTGTATATAAGGATATATGTTTAAAAGTGAAATTCAGGTCCTGATTACGCCAAAGAATACATAAATACGATGTGCAGATTTTAGAGCAAGGTTTGGTAATGATTGGCATATTCTAATTAGAAAAGGGCGAATTGTTCTAAGAGCAAGTTGGCTTGGAGGCGAACTCTCTAGCATTCTTGCGCATGTGTGGCCTGACGTAAGCCCATGGCATCCGGTTTAACTCCGCTAATATATTTTCTGCGTGGACCTCAGAGTCCACGCAATGACTTTCAGAAACCTCTGATACAATATCGTATAAAAGCACACGTTTTTGGAAATATGCCATCTCCAGCTACGGCAACTTACGGACTTCATAAAGCATCAGCTGTCGGTGATTGTGATGTTCGTAAATTTGTTTACAATAATTTTTATGTTGATGATGGACTTACCTCCCTTCCCACTGAAGCTGAAGCAGTGACCCTTATGAAGAAAACACAAGCAACACTGAAAGAAAACGCAAATATTCGTCTTCATAAAATCATCTCAAACAGTGTAAATGTGATGAAATCATTCCCTGCAGATGACCTAGGAAGTGACCTTAAAGAACTGAATCATAGTAAAGACATGTGCAACTTACCTGCTCAACATAGTTTAGGAATGTTGTGGGACTTGAACAGTGATATGTTTGTGTTCAAAATCTCTAACGTAGAGAAACCTTGTACCCGAAGAGGTCTTTTATCTACACTGAACAGTGTGTTTGATCCAGTTGGATTTATTTCTCCAGCAACCATCAGTGGAAAAATTCTGCATCGTGAACTTGTACCTCCTGGATGTGACTGGGATGAACCACTCTCAGAGGAACACGTGAAAAAATGGCATAACTGGCTGATTCTTTACACTCTATTAACGACTATAGAGTTCCTAGAATGATCGTATCTACCTCCATATCTCAGGCACATTGCTTGGATGTCCATGTGTTCTCTGATGCATCAGAACATGCCGTTTCTGCCGTTGCATATCTCCGAGTCATTGACAGAGTGGGAGAAGTTTCTATTGGATTCCTTATGGGAAAATCAAAGCTGGCACCTCTTAAAGGTCACACCATACCAAGACTGGAATTATGTGCCGCCGTCCTGGCCACAGAGGTAGGAGAAGCAGTATGTGACTATTTGAACATTCCACAAGATCGGTTTCATTACTACAGTGATAGCAGAACTGTCTTAGGATACATTTGCAATAACATCCGCAGATTTTTTGTGTATGTTTCGAACCCTGTAGAAAAAATTCACAAAGTTTCATCTTCATCTCAGTGGTCCTATATCTCAACAGATAAAAACCCTGCAGATATAGCGACAAGATATTCACATACAGCATTGACCACATCTCTACAAAACTGGATAACTGGACCCCAATGGTTGAGAAATATTCCAGAGGAAACCAAGACTGTATATCCCCTCATTGAGCCGGAAAGTGACAGAAAAATTAATCAAGAAGTTGTTTCAGGCAAAACTCAAATTTCAACTGAGATTTTGGACTCGAGTCGTTTTTGTAAATTTTCTACCTGGAAGAGTCTTGCGAAAGCCATTTCAACTCTGAGACGTTTCATTAGAAGTAAAACAAAAGTGAACTGTGAAACCATTGAAGAACAACCAAAATTACACAAAGAAACAGAAAAATTCATCATTCAACTGGTTCAACAAGAGTCTTACAGTAGAGAAATTGAAAATCTAAAGAGTGAAAAACCTATACCAAGAGACAGCAAAGTGTCAAGACTATACCCGTTCCTTGATTCGTCAGGAGTTTTCTGTGTCGGCGGAAGGCTAAAGCGAAGTTCAGAATTATCGCTAGGAGAAAAGAATCCAGTCCTTATACCTAATCAACGCCATATTGCGAAACTTCTAGTGCGTCATTATCATGAAATAATTCTTCATCAAGGACGTCATCTGACTGCTAGAGCTATCAGAGCTGCAGGATACTGGATACCGAGCTGCAAACGACTGATATATTCCATTTTATCTGGTTGTGTAAAATGCCGTAGACTTTGTGGCAACTTTGTTTATCAAAAGATGGCAGACTTACCTGAGGAACGACTAGTTTCTTGCCCACCATTTACTTAATAATAATAATAATAATAATAATAATAATACTTTATTTAAAGAAGGTAACCCGATTAGTGCAAGCACTATTCTTCCCCGGGGCCTTCTGTAGACAAAAGTCAATATACATACATATACAAATACACAAAATCAATAAATAATCATGAATTATTGCGACATTCTTTTACATATTTTTTAACTTGGTGCTTGAAAGCATTGAGTGTTGGAGACATTTTTATATATACAGGTAAATCATTCCACAACATAGCACCAGAGTATTGGAAGGAATTTTCAAAGAGTTTACATTTATGAGCTGGTACACACAGGTCTAAGTTGGATTCAGATCGAAGATTGTATCGATTATTACACTGGAAATCAAACATACTATTTAAATAAGTAGGGTTAGAGTTAAACAGTGATTTATATAACAAAACATATTTATTTACAGTAAGTTGCTCATGCACTGTGAACCAATCAAGTTTCTCAAAGAGAGGTTGTGAGGGCGCATCAGGGGGAGCATCTAAAATATACCTTGCAGCACTTTTTTGAAGCTTATGAACTCGGTCAAGATTTGAGTGAGATGTATTACCCCACACGGTTAAACAATAATCAATTGAAGGCATAATATAAGCATTGTAAAACAGTTTGCGCGTTTGAATAGGAAGAAACTTTTTAATTCTACGGAGGGCAGAAATTTTACGTGACAGCGCTTTACACACATGGTCAATATGTACATTGTATTGTAAGGAATTATCTAAATAAACTCCGAGGATTTTTTCATTTGATACAATGTCTAGTTTTTGGTTTGATACGCATAGATTAAATTCATGCTCAGAGAAATTTGATCTCTTTTGATGCGTACAGACTAACATGCATTTAGTTTTTGTAGCATTTAGAACCATTTGATTCTGAGAGCACCATTTTTCTATACAAGCTATATCCGTTGATAATGCATCTACAAAAGTATGGGAATCTTTGCTGGATGCATGTAAAGTGGCATCATCTGCAAATAAGTCTATTTTGGATTTAGTAATGCATAATGGAAGATCATTAATGTAAAATAAAAACAGAAGAGGTCCTAGTATAGACCCCTGTGGAACTCCCGCTGTGACTTGCTGATAAGATGAATGTTTGTTGGACAGATGGACACTTTGAAGTCTGTCACTTAAATATGATCGGAACCATTGTAAAGTTATTGCATCAAAATTATAACATTGTAGTTTTTTAAGTAGAATATCATGATTTAAAAGGTCAAAAGCTTTACTGAAGTCAAGAAAAACAGTACCAACAAGTTTTCCTTGGTCCATTTCATTTAACCATTCATCTGTAATTTTTGTAAGGGCTGTTTGGCAAGAATGAAGTTCTCTGAAGCCTGATTGAGATTCTACTATAAGATCAAAGTCCGAAAAAAGAGATCGTATATACTTTGCCACATGTTTTTCAATAATCTTGGATAATGTTGGTAAAATGGAAATGGGTCTATAGTTATTTGGATCTAATCTGTTTCCTTTTTTATAGACTGGAGTAACTTTTGCAAGTTTAAAACTCTCAGGGAAAATGCCAGATATGATACTTGTATTTATAATATGGGTCACAGGTTTATGTATTATTTGTGAAGTAAGTTTTAACAGACGTGGCCCTATGGTATCGACACCTGAAGATTTACTAATATCTAGTTTATTGAGTAAAGATAGTACTTCGTCATCAGTAATAAGCGGAATACCAAACATGTCTGTACCCAATTTAGACTTTACAAAGTCCAAAAGACCTGTAAAGTCATTTTCCTCCTTACTTACGCCTGCAAGAAGTTCTTCAGAAATATTTGAAAAATGAGAATTAAACATTTCTACCATTTCTTGTGTATCCTCTGTGATATTATTATTTTTTGCAAGTGCGGCTGGAATATAATTATGTGATTTAGAAGCTAAATTGTTTAATACATCCCACATCTGTTTTGGATTTTTGTTTTGTTCTATAGTTGTTTTGTAATAACTAATCTTGGCGTTTTCAATAAGTGATGTAACTTTATTGCGCCATATTTTGAAATTTTCGAAGTCTTTATTTTTATGAAGGTTATCGCGCATGTGTTGTGCTTGCAAAATTTCTTGAGTTAACCATTTAGGTCTTGTGTCGTGCTTAACTCTTTTTGTTTTCACTTTTGCATGTTTATCTAATACAGCATTAAAAAGTGAATAAAATTTCCTTAGTGCTTCATTTGGGTCAGAGAATAATTCTAATGATTGGAAATTTACCTCTTTTAAGTCTGCAAGAAAATTATTTTCATTACATTGTTTGAAGTCTCTGTAGGTTATTTCTGTGTGTTTGAACTTGTTGACATTATTATTTAATTTTCTTGTAAAACAAACAGGATAGTGGTCAGATATTGCAATTGATGGTACTGCAGATTCACATATGTTTTCTGGTAGGGTAGTATATATATGGTCAATAAGGGTCGATGAGGTATTTGTTATTCTTGTGGGTACATTAATTAGCTGTGTGAAGTCATATTCTTCAAAAGCAGAGGTCCAGTATCTTGGGGGGGGGGGGGGTCTTTGATAAGGTCGATATTAAAGTCACCTGTTAGAATAATTTCAGCATCGTCACAGCGGGATGCACAATTTATCTCCTGTGTTAGACTTTCTACCCAGCAGGTGGTAGCAGATGGGGGCCTATATGTGGTACAATAAAAAATTGGTTTTGAATTTGGGATATTAATTTCAAGCCATATTGTTTCAATGTTACCTACTTCAAAATCATTTCGACGTTTGTAATGTAAATTATTGGAAACATAAACCATTAATCCTCCCCCTGATTTCAATAATCTATCCTTTCTCTCAAAATTAAATCCTTCAATATCTAATTCACAGTTGTCTGTTTGTTCATTTAAAAATGTTTCACGGATACCAAATACATCCATGGAGCGATATCCTGATAAAAGAATCTTAAGTTGGTCAATTTTAGGCAAGATAAGACATATATTTAGATTCCCAAATCTAAGACCTTTCTTGGTGAGTCCGAAATTATTTAAATATTTATTTGAAGTTGTCTTTCGTGATTGATCATTATTTTCAGAAATTTTTGAATTAGAATTTTGTTTTGATGAACTAGTAATCGAGGATGTACAAGGTTTCTTATGAAATACTTTTTTGACAGAATTAACATCATAGTTACTGATTGACTGCGTAGGAAACATAAAACTATTAGCTAGATCCGATCCTACTGATGGGTCATTGGTACTATATACACTACAGATATATGAACATTTGCATGAAATTTCACCACATTCACCACAAAGATTGTTTAAAACACTAAAAGGGTTTGATTTTAAGAGGGTAGGTCGTTCGGCATTTTCCTCTTTGCCGAATTCCTAATAAGAACAGTGTTTTACTTTATGACCCGGGGAGTTGCAGTTCCAGCAGACAATCTTATATCCGTGTCGACAATTTTGAGATGAGGGGCCATTCTCACCACAGTAGAAACACACATTTATATTTCCAGGCATACTTTGTGTGTCATTTAAACGACGCGTTTTAATGATCGGAACGTGATTATCGTAGGCTTTCAGGAGAGTCGATGTTCCCTTGTCAGATAAATGAATTCCATCCTTCCAGAACAGATCCGAAGATTGGAACATATTTCGGAATGAGATAATATTCACACTGTATTCCTCACAAACAAATTTAATTACTTCATTCATGTGGGAAACATTTGCATCCCTTCGTGGTGGAATTTCCGAGATAAAAATTTCAGTACATGGTGATCTCCTCTGGATGTCAAGCACAATTTCGGTAAGATCACATTCACTGCTCTCAATTTCTCTATTGCTGGCAGCATCATTTCCACCAGCAAGGATGATGATTGACCGGAAGGGTGTTAGGTCAATTCCCTGAAGAATGCGTCTGATATCGGACAGTCGAGCCCCTCGGTTTGTACGGACCGCAACATTTCTCAGTAATCCACGGGTTCGGATTCGCTGGAGGATTGAACTTCCTATTACAAGTACAGACTTTCCGGTTGGAACGTCAGTCACGAGTTGTTGGTTCTTTTGTCTGTTGAAAGTTTTCTGCTCTCTTTGAGCCGACATGGTTTCTGGGGAGGTTGAGGATTCCCTCGTCTCCACGCTAGTACACTGTGTATGTCTTGACATGCCTTGTACTTTGGTATCCTTTATGTCCCGTGTATCAACAGCTTTAGTTTTCATAAGTGGTTCCCTTGTTTGAGTAGTTGCATCTACTGAATGAGTGTTTTTAAATTGAAGAGTATGTTACTCCATTTTCAATCTGGCAACTTCCTCAGAGAGATCAGTAACAGACTGTGTCAGTTTTTGAATAATTTGAAAGCTGTTGCAGTTCTGACATGGTCTGCTTTCCATATCTTGTAATTTACAAGGTTTAGGGGTGGAGGTATTTTGTGGCTCAAGCATCCCTTCAATTTTACTAACCTCAGTTATTGGCAGATGAGGAATTTGTCCAATGAATTCTCTAAGCCAAGTAGATCTTTCACTCCCTTGGACATGGATTGTTTGAGTTGATTTGTACAGTGTAGCCGTAACATTGCCATTACTTGATTTATAGATATTTCCATTTTTAAAACCAGTTTTGGTAAACAAAAGGTCATTGTTTAGAATGGTCACAATGTCTTCAGACTTATCCTCATCATAGTTCAAGGTAATGCTCTGTTGATTAAATTTCACTCGTAAGAAATCTGGTACATCAATTAAGGAATCTTCATCATCGGCATTGGAATTTCCTTGTGAAAATGAAAGTCCAAAAGTATCCAAAATAGATTTGAACAGACTTGTATTTTCATTCAGATTACTTGACTCCATTATATACCATGATCAGCAGCATAGGTAATTACTGATAAGAAGAAGCATAGAAAAACACGTCTGGTCACCTTGAGAGCTTATCTATCTATATGTTGGCGTTGATTGCTTCGGACTCTGGAATGTTGTCACCCGACGTACATGTGGTGGTTCTGTGAATTCCAAACGATGAGCTGTGTTGTTTACATGTTTATCATGTCGTGGTGTCCATATTGAAGTAATCGAAGAAATGAGCACATCTTCCTTTATCAACGCCTTGCGTCGCTTCACATCAATCAGAGGCAAAGTGAAGGAATTCTATTCAGATATAGGAACCAATTTGATTGATCGATCTAGAGAACTTGGAATTGATGCTATTTTCGTGGAAGACCTCTCAATGAAACCCTTCCTAAAACAAAAAGAAGCAATTTGGAAGTTCAACACACCTTTCTCCTCTCATATGGGAGGCGCTTGGGAGCGCTTAATGGTGTTATCAGATGGATCATTGATTCCATTCTACTAGATGCTAAGTACACCAAACTTACTCATGAAGTCCTATGCACATTTATGGCCGAAACAACAGCAATAGTGAACGCACGTCCATTGGTATCAGTATCCACAGACCCAGAAACACCTTGCATTTTATCTCCAGCTGTTTTGCTTACGCAAAAAAACCCCACAGATTCGACAGAGGATTTCAAACAATTGTTCGTGAAATTTATACTTTCCAGTGGTTCGTTCAGTGCCTAGCCGAGACATTTTGGCGCCGATGGAAGAGTGAGTATCTGCAGAGTCTTCAAGTGTGCAGAAAATTGAAACATACTGTAAAGAACATTCATGTTGGAGACATTATTCTCTTGAAGGACAATGAAGCACTGTGCAACCACTGGCCGACTGGACTGGTAGAACGTGTTTTTCCTAGTGATGATGGACTGTTGCGCAAACTTGAAGTTCGCATTGTGAAAGATGGGCAATCGCGGACTTATGTTCGCCCAATCTCAGAAATTGTGTTTCTGTGCCATTCCCAAAAATTTCTTAATCTGAATACAGGAGTTAACATGTTTTGATTGATCAAAGACAAATAAAAAAGATACATGATTATTTTCTGGAATGCCCTGTTCACATGGACAGTTTAATTTGAATTAAATATAATAAGTTCTGTGAATTAAATTTGAACTGTGTTCACACAGACAATTTAATCTGAATTAAATTGACAATTGAATTTAATCTGAATCATTAATTGGCAATTTAAGGGAGCCGACTGGGGTTTTATTGTGTGAAAACTACTATAGAGAAACTCTTTATTTTTATACCATATGTGCCTTACGTTGACTTCAGTACACATGCCAAGTTTAGTGAAAATCTACCGGCTGGTTATTTGTAAGGGACAATCTCAAAATACAGGTGCATTTACTATAGGATTATATACATGTAGGAAAATACCATTTTTTCGCACTTTGGAGCAAATTATACAAATGCTACTATAGATTTTTTGCTAAAATTATATTATTTGATGGGTAATACTATGTTGTACATTTTATGCAAGAAATACAAAATTCTACCGTCTGGTTTCCAGAGGGGGCATCTCAAAATGTCAAAATTCATAATATTTTTCTGTTTTTATGGAGTACAACAAAACATGACAAATACCACAGATTTAAATAAAAAAAAAATCAAAATGATTGTGAGATTCTCAATTTCCTATATTTAAAATTTCAAGAGCCTATATTTTATACTTTTTATTTTATGGCATAATTAATGACCCTGCTTAAAGAACTTCGGTTATTCATAACGTCAAAAACACACTATATTATTATGACGTCTATCTACCCATCATTTGAAAAATCGTTAAAAAAATCAGTTATACAAAAACTTAATTAGATTTTTTAACCTGGGATTTCCTAAATTTGTTAATTTTTTATAAATTAAAAACAGTTGCTTTAAAATGGAAAATACGCTTTATTTTACTATGCTGTGCGAAGTATTGCACAATGAAATCCCCAGTCGGCCCCCTTAATGCCAATTAGTTTAATTTGAATCAATTTTAACTGCACATTAAAATACTTCGCTCAAATGCCATGTAAATTTTGACATTTCTTATTGCAAAATTAAGTCACATATGCAACATGTCATGGTCAGACATGTCAGATAGAGGTACTTTTGCTATGTTCTAGTGAAAAATAAAGAAAATTTATGTTAATCACCAAAAATGTGTACAGAGTATATAGACACTGTGACATTATGTCAGATGTATTACGTCTGTTCTGACATACATGTGCTAGGTGATGTGATTTGAAATTGACATTATATTAACTTAAATATTTGTTATAAAATTTTAATGCACATTAGTTTAAGTTGCATTAGCTATCATGTGAATGCTATTTAATTCGAATTATATTAATTTGCATTATTTTACTTCATTAATTTACTGTGAATCAAAAATTTAATGTGCATTTTAAAGAGATTCTTTAATGCTGTTTTTGATGACAGTGCACGATGGTTATTATAAGCCACCTGAGAAATACAGTTTTCACCAAGCCTGAAGAACTGTTGTATGATCTAATGACTTTGAGTAAACCTTAACCATGATATCCTTCTTAATTGTTTACATGTATTAAAGTCCTAGCCAAATGCAGTGAGAAAAGCAGGGTTAAAAAAAATAAACATACCCAGTTTATTTCCATATTAATTTGAAATTTTTAAATCTGTTTTTGATGCAGTGCAGAAGAAACATCAGTCATGTAGCATCTATATTGAAGGGGAATTGGGGGGGGGGGGGGGAGTAAGGAAAAAATTGGCAACTCCTTGACAAGCCAAAATAAAAAAAAAGATAATTCTCGTGACTCCAAAATCATATTTCATGTGTGTGTGGGTGAGATTGATATGGTTCATGAACATAGGAGGGATTTAACTATACTTTTTTTGAAAAAGTTGGGAGGCCAGGGTTGAATGAACATTTTCATATTCAATTTATGATAAATATTTATGTTCTAAAAAATTGGGAGGCCCCCTACATGCCTAAATTCTATGTTCACATGTGGAAGTCGGGTGCAGATGAAGTACCTTTCCGTAACTAATTGTATCAGTTTAGAAATTATCAATTTATTTTTAGTCCAATGTAGAAAAAAATTCTTATGTTCACCTGATAGGTCACATGCAAGTGAACAATATTTAAATATTTTTTCTACAGTGTTAGCTGGTATGTTGATCATTTCCATCAGCAAATTAGAGAGCAAGGAATTGTTCAATCATATAATAAAAAGGCTCATTTAAGACACACTATAATCCTTATGTATCAATTCTGCTTCTTATTAATTTAGCATGAGAGTATTGCCCCTTCTGTGAGCTAGATACAGATTTGATCAAGCTTCAGATTTATTCTTACAGTGGGAGAGAGAACTCTTATTTACACTATATTATAGAAAATGTTATATTACAATTTTTTTGCAATAGATTGCACTGTTAATAAATTAATGAATTTTTTTTTCTTGTATGATGTTAATAAGTGAGTTAAAAACTTAAACACATTATATATGTATATCTTGTATATATTATGTTTTCTTGTCAATAGGTCTCCCTCTGGAGAACCTGGAGTGTAAAAAGCATCCCAGAGTTCCATTATCCCAGTTCTGTGTCCCGTGTGTGGTTACCTTGTGTGAGAAATGTACCATGACCTCTAGGGATCATGAAGGACATGATGTTAGAGATGTAGAGAAAATGTTTAGAGAAATTCACAAGAGAAAAGGTTGGTAACAATGCAGAATTTTACTTTTGAAAACAGTTGACAAAAAGCTACCTCTTACTTTAGAAAAATGAGATACAGCATGTAAATACACCTTTCATAAAGTGCCAGATTTACAGATCTCATGACCTTTCATTGACCTTTGACCTATCCAGTGCTTTCAGTAGTCCCATTTTGCATCTATCTTTCTCAATCATAAAAGGTTTTGATATTACCTCTTAATTTACCGGAAAAAGATTATTAACATTGTAAGATTAGTTCATGAAAAATATTCAATTTTTGCTGAGGATAAACTATTTACTAAAATCACAAGAACTAAAACTTAGATATGTTTAAGTATGACCTTTATATAATTACCATTCAGTTTGTAAAAGAAAAACATTTATCTCTGTTAAGTATACTATATAGAGATTCTGTTCGGTTTCTGACTAAATCAAACATTCCCTTAGAGTTTGAACCCATGCAATAAAGATACTGAGTATCAATTTTTAGCTCACTTAAGCCGAAGACTCAAGTGAGCTTTTCTGAATAAAATTTGTCCCTTGTCTGTCGTTTTCATTGTTGTTGTCATTGTCGTAAACTTTTCACATTTACATCTTCTTTTCCAGAACCACTGGGCCAATTTCAACCAAACCTGACCAAACTGAAACCGCTTTCTTTAATGAAACCGCTGAACCAATTTAATCCAATTTTGGCCTATAGCATCTATAAATGGGGGACAGATATTTAAGCAAAGTAGTGAAGACACACTAAAATCCATGGTTATATAGTGTGAAGAAATGGTAACTTTTTTTTAAAATTCTTTGGTGTATTTCATGGTATTTCACAGAGGAATTAAAATATACATTAAGGTTAACTGAACAAAATCAAATAAAATGTAATAATTCAGACTTAATTTTTCACTTTCTTATTTCTGGAACCATAAACACTTTCTTTGGCTTATTCACCCATCTTCTTGAGAGCAGCATGCATATGTACATCTTAGTCTTAGAGTATTTGTTTGGGCATGTATTGCTTCAGCTGTAGTCTCAGAATACTTAATATTGAAAAAAGTTATCTTTTATATGTATCTCTCTATTTGTAGATGGAGATGCAGTTTTGATGTGCCTTTTTCTCTGCCCTTCATACAAAATAAATCTGGAAGAACAACACTGGATAAGGAAGTATAATGCTGTTGCTGAAGTTTTCAATATCAAGACGATTAAGAAGCCATCCAATCTTGGCAACTTAAAGTACAAACCAATACTCAAAGAGGATGGTTCTGTACTCACATTTTCTTGTGAATTTTTCAAAAACTCCAGTTTTCTTAGATTTGCTAAAAATCCAGATTTTGTGGATATTTTTCTGACTTTGGCACAAAAAGACAACATCGCTGAATACTGCAGGTCATGGGTTTATCCAAAGAAAGAGGAGGAAGTCTTTTGCTGGTTATCACCACAACAAACAAATCAATTGATTGAAAAACTTGGAGAGGACATTTTCAAACACCCAACATGGCAGGACACATCAATACATGATGATGTATTTAATAACCGTATGTCTTTCTTTTATTACCTTACCCTAAACAAAGATTGAGTAGATGATGTAAATGTATGTAAATTAGCACACTCAAAATTTAGCTCAATCATCCTCATCAAATGAAAGGTGTAATCATGAATTGGCATAGTTTGATCCAAACTTCTATTTAAGGAATTTCTTTTTTTTGGTTTGACGTGAGTTTTTCGTGTGTAAATCACATAGACTTTCTACATAGGCATATTTCATGAAGCACGCTAGCAAATAAATTGTGTCAATTATTCCAGGATATAGCTATCCCATCGTATTCATTAGTTTATTTCTATATACATTCTATCTTGGTAAATAAATTTCACCCAGATACATAAATGATTTCTATACATATTTCAATGCATTATATCGCAGTAGGAAAAAAGATAGTTGAATAATTGAATATGCAAAGTCCTAGAAACTAATTAAACACATTGCTAGTCTCTGTTTCATTTTTATTTCAATTAAGAAAAATAATTAAAAAATATTACAAGTGTGCAGATGCACCTGTTTGTCTTTGAAATTTAAAGTTCAAACTAATAGAGCCACAATCTTGTGAGAGATAATTATGTTATTTTAGTTGGTGTACCAATGCAGATTTTAATGAGAGGGGAGGAGTCAGCCAAGAATTTCATTGAAAATCTTAAAAAAGGGGAGACGACTATGTACCATGCCTCTGGGATGATTATTGGGTGTGCGGGTAGTGGGAAGACAACCCTGCTAGAAAGATTGAAAGGCACCAACCTGGAAGAAATTCTGAGAAATTTAACATCGACCAGAGGCGTTGACGTGCACTCTGACATTTTTGATGTAACAGAAAACACAATCAGAGGTACGTTGTGTTATTGATTTTTACTGCACTTGATCTTATAACTGAGCTGGTATAGTTCACCAGATTTTAAAAAGAATTACTGATGACGATAGCCTAGTTGTATGGTATTTGCTTCGTGATCGAGAGGTACCAGGTTTCAATTCTCGGTCCCTGCTCGACATCGAACATAAGACATTAACAAAGGGATAGAATGTTCCTTCGCCAAGCACCTGGCACTAGAAGCTAAAGTCAAATGTTTTTTTGGTCGAAAACTCAAAAACCGAGGTCCCATGTCACTGTAGGTGTTGGCACACTAAAGAACCCTTACTGCTGAATAGCCCCAAGTGCCGAGAATAGGTCTAAATGTGTTTCTGTTCACCAGTATATGGTGAGGTCCCATATGAGTGAGAAATTCTTGCAAGAAACGTAAAGCAACAAATAGTCAATCAGTCATTCAAAGAGTATTTTTAAAGTCCACCGTTTTTTGGGTCACATATTGTGTTGCCAGACACATGGGGATCCTAGAAGTTTTTCAATAGAGATTCACCCCACTCAAAAAAAAAAATCCAACCTAGAAATATACTGACAAGCGAAAAAAAGTAAAGTCCTCTGTAATATATTTGAAGAATGCATTTGGGTGGAGTGTCTGTGTGTGTGTTGGGGGGGGGGGGGATCTGATGTTTTCACTTCTTAAACTTCATAAGTATGCATGTATTGGTCTGCATTTTCTAAGGGGTCCAAGGTCCATTTTTTGTTACTTAAGTATGTAAAGTTGATAACTCTGAAAATTCCTGAAGGGAGTTTCCATAGCCCCCCTCCACACACACACACACACACACACACACACACTTACACACCTCCCCCACACCTTCTCTAGATATGTGTGTTTGGGTGGGGACAATTGAGCAATGCACAGTAGATTTAGGTATTTATAAAACATACCCTCTTTCCATGTTCAAAACAAAGATTACAAAGTTCTTATACTAATAGATACACCAGCTAAAGCTGAGGAATTGAAACAGCATGTTTCAACCCCCCCCCCAAAAAAAAAAAAAAAATAAATTTCATGATTTTACTCTTAAAAATTATATTTATTGTTATGCTTTTGTTTCTCTTGCAGTAAGCTCATATAACCAAAAACAACGCTTTAAGGTTAAAATTGATGATACAAGTCTATATGCTAAGAACATTCCAGAAAATCCCATCTTATCTGGTGACCTGGAAAAACTGTCTATTAAACAGCCACTAGGGGATCAGAGAGATACTACCGGTAAAGCCGTTGATAAAGAATCGGTTAGTTATAGAGCAGTTTCACACGAGAACTTGAATATAGAAACTGACTCACTTAAAGGAAATGAAGCTGCTGCGTTTGTAGAAAAAGAAGAGGGAATGGTTGAAGAAAGTCAAAATGTTCTGAAGAACTCAGACGTTTTAGGATTTTTACGATTTTCCAAAGATGTTTCAGATGAGCCAGAAAAAAGAATCACCATGGTCGACTTTGCAGGGCAGTGTGCATATTATGCCCCACACCAGATTTTTCTGAGTCCAAGGGCATTCTTTATTCTTGTTCTCAATATGGAGAAAGAGTTTGATGATCAGGTCGGAGAAGAAGTATGTTGCCAAAAAGGCTCTATTTATGAACGATGGACACACAGAGGTTTGTTACTCTTACATGATTTGGGTTTGATTGCCTAGTATCAAAAGCATATTCAATGCAATATGTGATTTAGAAATCTACTTAATTCAAATACGTATTTAAAAAAAAAGATTAAAGGACTCTTAAAATATATTTTTATAAAACTGTAGTTTAAAATATAGTTGCCTTTTTATTGAGTGAATTAATATTTAATGGTTAAAAGATTACTAGATGGGCTTATTTGATGGAAAAATATCTCCATGTTTGTTTGTTCATATGTCTGGAATCATTTCTTTCAAAATGCTACTATTTTGAAAATTTTAATTTGAATAATACTTAGTATACACTTCAACTAAATTCAAGGACAATAATTTTGTGTATGTGATTTTTTTTAGACACTTTGTCCTACATGATTAAATTAAAGTACAGGATATACATATACATATTACATGTATCCAAAATCTGGAGCAAAATGGGTTTTTTATCGTAGCTTCTTGTTCATTTCATTGTTTATAGATTAGAGTAGTTTGTTGCATGGTTTAATTTTAGTACATTTATATTGTGCGGGGGGATGGGGTGGGGGGATCATTTTATCACAACCATCAGGCACGATAAAGAATCCTCACTGCTAAATGGCCCAGTTCCTAGTATATGTCTTAATTTTAAGCCCTTCACCAGTATATGGTGACGTCTCCATATGATTGAAAAATTCTCGAATGGAATGTAAAACAACATACAATCAATCAATCAATACAATCTTACAGAAGTATTAAGACATACACAAAGTAATAAGCAAATTGCTCTGTTTTGTCTTTATTTTATTCAGATTATCTTGAATTCTGGATGAAATCCATTCACCAGTACAGCACCAATAAGGCCCCAGTTCTCCTCATTGGTACACATAGTGAGGGAAAAACAGAAGAGGTATTTTTTCTTCATTTCTAAAAAAACTAGCTTTACTGGTCAGATACCAGATGATCTAATGTGATAGTAAGATGTCTCGTCGTCCGTCTGTAAACATTTTTTCACAATGCTAGTCCTCCTACAGTTTTGATCTGATTTCAATATAACTTAGCACACAAGTAGACTACACTAAGATACATAATTCTGTTTATCGGTTGTTAATTTCGATGAAGGGTGTTGCCATAGTCACTAAAAATAGAAAATTTTGTTAAATACCTTCAAAACACTCCTCCTCCTCCTACAGGTTTGATCTGATTTTAATATTACTTGGCACACAGGTGGACTGCACTAAGATACATAATTCTATTTGATCATTTTTCTTTATTTTGATAAGTGAAAATGCCATGGTTACTAAAAATAGAAATTTCTGTAAAATTTATTAAAAAAGCTATTCCTACGATTTTAGTCTGATCATGCTGATTGCAATAAATCTTACCACAAAAAGAGACTAAACCAAGAATCATTATTCCATTTATTGCTGTTCAAAGTTTCAAGTCTAAGTGCTGCTTTTCTCTTCCTTTGTGAAAAGTGCAAACCAGTAGAGCTACAGTCCCGTCAAAGACTTTCGGTTTTATACTAAGTGTATTGTTGGGATAAAACCTCACAGGTGACATATACAGTTAAGATACAAGAAGTCTATGAGCCAATGCTCACTAGTAATACCCCGCTCTGATGTGAATATACGCTCCTATGAATTCTACCATATGGCATGCCTAAACAAAGAGCGTGCTAAAATTTCAAGCATCTGCTTTGAATGGTTGCTTTCTGTTTATCCATTCGTCTGTCCATACAAAATATCCGTATGCACAGTTTTCTCAGCATCTGCCTTGAATAGTTGCTGAGAAAACTGTGACGGTAATTTTGTACAGACAAATGAATGGATAAACAGGAAGTTGACATCGGATTCTTAAAAATGAATTCCACCATACGACATGCCTAAACAAAGGGTGTGCTAAAATTTTAAGCACCTGCAATGAATAGTTGCTGAGAAAACTGTGACAAAAATTTGGTACGGACAGACGCATGGAAAAACAGTAAGTGGACATCGGATTTGTACAAAAATGAATCCCATCATATGGATGCCTAGGCAAAGAGTGTGCTAAGATTTCAAGCAACAGCATTGAGCAGTTGCTGAGAAAACTGTGACGAAAATTTGTTACTGACCAACACACAGTGTTATTCTGAACTAATCTATTATAGGGGGCTGGACACTGATTTGAAGTTAATATTTTCTCAAATTTTCTGCATAATATCATGACTTACATGTCGCTATAGCATTTCATAAGAAAATGTAATAAAAGCATGTTCAGACACTTCTTTTATCTGGAAATTATTGAAACTACACATTTTGGGACACATTTGATTGACACATTCTTGCACTGTTTAAAAAAAACAGGTGTTTGACATGAAGTAAAGAAGAATGTCGTTGTCATTGAATTCTAAGAATATTCATGTAAGTTCAATTCATTTAACTGGTTTTATTTTTTAATAAGCATAGAAATTTAAAATGTAAACAGTGCAACTGTGTCCAGGCCCCTTTAAACTGGTTCGTGTTACTACAGGTGGCAATCTGTTCCAATCCTAGTTGGTTTGTAGGAAAAAGGAGAACTGGCACACATCCTTCCTAGCAAACAATATGGACGATATGTTGACCTCTAATTCTGCTGTCTGTGTGGTTCAGGTAGTAGCCAGATTTTAAATAGTGGTAGAAGGCGGATCTTGGCTTTCATGACTGATAGTTGTTCGCAGCTAAACCAGCTAAACATGTTAGTGACACAACCTGATTGACTCTTCTTTCTGGTGCCTCCGCAGTAGCCGTCTCAATTTTGTGGTCATCAAGGGATTTGAATGATGGTTTCTGCTAAAGTTGGATTGAGTATTTTCTTCTATGTCCACAGTGGTAGTAGTTTAGTCCTTAAATTCGGTCTAAGTGTCATCCACTGTCTCAAACTAATGTCTTGTCCATAATGTTACCAATGTTGCATCATCTACTTCGTGTTTACAAATTGTGTTTTTATCAGTTTTATTCAATACATGTAATAATATTTATGTGTGTGTTGACAGAATGTGTCAAGAGAATGATCTATCGTCACTTTTTCTAAGATATGGATAACTTTACATTTGTCAGTGATTGAAGGATGGGATGTAAAGAAGAGGTTTAGTATCTTGGAACCTCTAGTAAGGAAGCAGATCGCCTATTTTATGTCTTCTGACTTGGGAGATTATGTTAGTGGTAGTTCGCCAAAAGAAAATCGGATACAGATAAGCTGACTGAGTTATTGGACTCTGCATCATTTGAAAGATGTATGAATGAATTAAATATAGACATGGTGGTGTAGAGAAATCAGGAATTTCTCAACTAGTGCAGATTCATAAGACTGATGTTTATAAAATAATGGTTATATTTTCATAGAAACTGATTTGCTTGAAGGAAAAAGGGAGTATCACTTAAATATTGCATAACATATCTATATATTAATTAGCTCATTATCTTGCCGTTTGATAAATCTTTGCATTTGTTGATACTTATGGCATTGGGATTAGGTTGGCGTAATAGAATATAGGACTTGTTTGCTTATGCATTGTCTGATTTGGACCTAGTTATGTGAATCAAGTGAGACTTGTGCTCTCTAGGCTTATTATCACCATCAGGTTACAAAACCAGTTGTACACAGTTAAAATATTTGGATAATTATAAATTTGTTAAATAGTACGTGTTGTATATTAGTTTGAATGATAGGTGCATGTTGTCGTTAAAAAATGATTAATTCCATAGATTCTTATCATTCATTGTTGTGATTTCTTAGTATAAATGTACATGCTAAACAGAATGATTTATTATTAAAATTTTATTTCCAGGAGATAATGACTTTTTTCCATGAAATATGGGAAACTCTTGAAATGAAAGACAAGACTTTGCACAAACATCTACATGAGGATAGACAGTTTGCAGTTGGATTCCATGACAATGAAAGCATTGAGAATATTAAGCTGTCAGTAGTTGATGTTGTGCAAAATCTACATCACTGGGGAGAAAAACTTCCACGATCATGGGTTATGTTTGAAAAATTCTTCCAGGAAAAGAAATCCCAGAGGATAATGAAAAAAGAAATGCTGCTAGCTTTCAATGATGCATTACCACAGGGAATAAAGCTCCAAACAGTTGACATCAATTTTATGCTGCAGTTTTTCCATGACATCAGAGAAATTTTATACTTCAACCAAGAACTACTCAATGAAGTAATTATTCTTGATGTGCAGTGGTTTGCAAATTTATTTAAAAATGTAATAACAGATAAAAACCATGCAGAGAAGGATTTATGTAGGTTTGCATCAGACTGGAAAAAATTTGATAAAACTGGAGTATTGAATGACACTTTACTATCAGCTATTTGGGAAATGAAGAGAAATGCCGACATTGAACACAAAGCAGATGTCATGCTATACATGGAGAAGCTAGGATTATTAGCGAAATTGGATGACAAAAAATGGTATGTTCCCTGTATGAACAAAATGCCATTTCCTGCAAATCTCTTTACTTCATACCCTGCCTCTTCTATCCTCTGCTACGAGTTTGATGTTCTTCCTGCTGGAATTTTCCATCGCCTTATAGCTACATGCATGCAAATTCCTTGGGAAATTGTAACAGAGAGAGACAGACTATGTATATACCAGACAGCAGCTGTATTCTTGTTTAAGGATCATAACATATTGCTTGGAATGACTCCAAGAGAAATTCAGCTACAGGTGTTTGTTATTGAAGGCAAAGTTGAGATATCAAAATGCCAAGAAGTAAAGAAAAAAATTGACTTTTTACTATATGTTCTTTCAAGAACGTTCCAAACTGACTTTAAATTTACGCTTGGCTTTAAATGCAAAGATACGGGATTTTGTGATAACCAAGGAAGTTCTGTGATGAACGAATCAAAATTTTCAAAACCAACCTTTCAGTGTCCTTTATGTCCAATAGAGAAAAAGCACATCATCAACTCGAAGGATATCATGAAATATTGGATACAGGTATTTATTTGTAATGATTGTTCTCTTCAGAAAGACAAAAGTAAATTTTACAGGAATATATTGTTTCTGTTAAGGACGCTGATTCTGGACCAAAGCTTGGCTGCTGTATGTCTTCGCTAGATGTATACTTGTTTGAATTTTACTAGCCCAACAGGCCTTATTTTATTATGTTCATGTTTCAGTCGAACCTCTTGAACTTCTTAAAGAAGTGTAGTATTCCAAATGATCAATGTTTGAGTTTGAGTGTCTTGATTCATGGTCTTTAAGGTTAGGATGAAAATACACATTTGGGGGGGGGGGGGGGGAGGAGGATAAAGTTTATCACAAAAAAGAAAAAAAAAGGATTAAAAACTAAAAAAAAGAACTAAAATTACTATAACCTTAAAAAAAAACCCAAAGATGAAAATGCATCTTCGTAAAAAGTAAATTCAAGTTATTCAAATAATTACCTTTGGTATAGGGATTGGGCAAAATAAGACAAATAAATCACATAGGTGTATCATGAAATTACTTGAAAAAGCTGTTTTCATCACGAAAAATTTGACGACAATTCGTTAGAGTAATATACAACATTTCCGTGCAAGATATATTTATATTTGTTCACTTAATGCTTCCAATATTAGGTTGCGGAGGCAAAGAATTCGTTGCAGTTAGGATTCAACTTTGTTAAAATCAGCGTTTTAAATACTTAACAAAGAAGTGGGACGACTACTTGGCATTTGATATAAATGTGTCTGTATTTTCTCACTCAGAGGACTACAAATTTTGAGCAGCAATGCAACAATTGTTCATTTTGCTGAAACTTCCATTTGTGTTGTAAGATATATTAATTGAGAGTTACATGACGTTGCGGTAATTAGCCTCTTGTTTCATACCGTTCCACTGTTAGCATTCATAATTTTAATCTGTAATATCTTTTAATCTTGAACGATTTTTATGATGAACACACAGAGTTTTGTTTTAGTTTCAATATTTACATACTTAAGGTACATGACAATGAAGCTGAGCCTTCTGAAGATAAAGGTACAGATAAAGGTTCACCGTCAGGGAGTTCTGGAACCAGTGAGTCACATGCCAAAGGTATCTCAACTAAATTTTCAGATCTAGATCTTTGTTTATTTGATTTTACAGAGAAAGGGTTATATAAGTAAGTTTAAGTTGCTAGTGACGTAACATCCTGTACCCAAAACATTGATGTACACATACTATCCCATCAACGAAAATCTTTAGTCATAACCCAGTGGCAGATATTCACGGTATATGTTATGTTTAATTTGTAATAAGAAAAAGAACAAGAAGTTCTGTAAATCAATACCAAATTCTAGAGATATGATATACAATGAAGCATTATTTTTTCCATTCAAAAATTCACACTGCATTGAAGTGGCCTATGGATAAATCCATTAAAATTAAATTACTTGTCAGACCCCCTCCCCTTTCCTTTGTTTTTCGTGTATCCTCTTTACAAATTAAAATACATGTATAAAAGAAATTCCACCTTAAACAATTATATAAAAAGGTAAGCTTTAAGGAACAATCTCTAACTGAATACCAATCAGAAGTATTTAAGTGAGGAGCAGGTATTACTTTTTTCTTGTCCTGTTTTCTTGTCCTGAAATATGAATAAATTTACTTTGTCATACACTTTGTGTATTTTTCATTTGACATGTTTGAGAAAGATTTTTTATGATTTCTTTATTTTTCGTTTACAGTAATTTATTCATAATTTAGCCATTGATAAAAACACTGCGGGTACATCTCTCTTATATAGATAATAATGCCAAAATTCTAAAGTTATTACAAATTGGAACTGATGCAGTAAGAATCTGCTTCGATAAATTCTTCCCCAAAGAGGTATTAGAAAAGACTCTAAAAGATAATGAAACAGACATGAGAAAAGGACGGTACCGATTCCAACCACCTCAACTATAGATTCTTTTCCCTCCTCAAGGTACTTAATTGTTTTATTCTTTTGATGATGAATGTTACTGTTGTCTACAGTTATTTGTGAAGGATAGATATATCTTTTGCATAACAATGAGCTGAATAATTGTTTTCTCATTGAAATTTGACTGTTTTCTTCGGGGTGTGTATTATATTTTTTTCACATTTTACCATGAGAACTGCTAGGTCAATATTAAAGTTGGCACAAAGTTTTCTTGATAAGGGAGAATAATGTTTGTACAATTAAGGGGACATATTTTCTTCCAAGGATAAATTATCAAGAAAAGGAAAAAAATAAAGGATTTCATTCAAAATTTTCTTCTCAAGAGCCAATGGGCTGGAAGGGATTACAGAATGGGTGGACTCAAAACGCCCTATATTGGATCTTTTTGCGACAACTCTACCAAACTGTAAATGAAGTGAATCCAAAATATATTACAAGCAGTAGAAAGAGTTATGTATACATGGTTATATTAGGTAGAACATTTGTACAAAAGCAATGCCCTGTTGCCATGAATCAAAATTGAAGCAATGATACATTGGTGTCGTGTTCCGGAATTTGGCATGTGCCCGGAGTGGTTTTTAGGTCACGTAATCAATATTAATAGGAGGCGGGGCTATCCATCGTTGACATCTCTCTCTCTACCTCTCTCTCTAGAAATTCGAATATGTGTATGGCATATTACAGTGATGTCAATATGAAATTAAAAGAATGTGTGGACACGCAAAATTAAAACAACATTTAATTTGCTAAGTTCTGAAAACGGCAACCAAACAAGCTCAAAGATCGAGGTCAGATCGAGGGCAGGTTGAAGAATACAATGTAACTTTTTTCACGAGTACACTCGCAGGTGGACATCACGTGATGAATTGTATTTAAGAGGTCAATGGAAGTCAAATCAAGGTTAACTCAGTCATAACAATTGAAACTAGAAGTTTGTTTTGAACATGTTCTTTTGTTAAATTAAGTGTGAGCGCACGTTTGTCGGCTCTTCTCCTTTTAATATGACATTATTTTGTTCAATATACAACTACAATTTTCTTAAGAGCAGCCGACAAACATTCGCTGACTATGTATTCAGATGATGAAAAGCGCGTGACCCTGATTATCTATTGATGTTCAAGAAATCTTCAGGCACCATGTCTTCGATATTGAATTAGTTTACCTCGAAAAGAGCGTTTTAAATTCACATCTGTACCATGAATAAACAGTTATGATGTCGGGGATATATATGATGGAAAGAAATAAACATTTCTATGAAACTTTAATTTACTGCATTTTTTTCTGGCCAGTTAAGTCCACCCATTCTTTACGTAAAACTTCAAGTTCAGTGAGATCATGACCCCTTTTAAGTCCTTAAAAATCTTTTAAGAATAACTAGTCTTTTTAATATGCAAGCATCTTCAGGTAATGTAGATTCACATTTGTTCAAAGTGGCCCTTGAAGATAAGACTTGGCCACTATAAAGAATGAATAAAATCGTGGCCGATAAATGGTAAGGTAAATGTGACTTTCTGGAAGAGTCTGAGCAGGCTTCAACAACCTGTGGCTAACAAAAATCCTTTATCTACCTTTAAACTGTAGACATGGCTTAATATTATTAGCTATGGAGACACTAAGAAGGGTAATGCGGACATATATGGAGTCCTTATAGGGTCCTTCAAAAAATGCATATTGGGCGAGGCGTTAGTCTACATAACAAATTTATCCTGTCGAAGATTTTTTTTTTTTTTACAGAGTTTATGTTTTCATGAGTTAGCAAACCGTTCCGTAACAATTGTTTAAATTGTGACATCAGTTATAGGTTCAAATGAAAACAACATATTGAATATGATCGGGACAGTATCATGACACGTTGAAGGGGTATATTTATTTGATATGTGGTCAGTAGGTCACGTGGAGGTGACATATTAGCAATATAATGTCGGCAGACAGCATGATATGGTTTTATACAGTATTCTTTTCGAAAAATGAAATTTCAAGATTTTTATCAGAGGCAGGATAATAGATTATAAATAAATAATCTTTTAACATTTGACATTTGATATAGAATTAAAGATATTTTAGGTTAGTGCCTAACAGAGATTTAAAGCAAAGAACAAGGTTCAATTAGAGTCTTTTTTGCCCTGTAAATTTCTGAAAAAATGAAATCTCTTCGTTTTAGTTGGCAATGCGTATAATATCAGATCCTTGGTGACTGTGTATCTGTCAAAAATGACGCAATTTTCTGGCTAGTCAATGCATTATGACGTCATGAAGTGCGTCATTTTTCCCCATATTCTGAGAATTTCTTCTAAAACGGCCAAACCTTTAAGCTACTTTTCAATATATAGTATTGAGCTCAACCTCTGATCTAAAATGTGCGATTATAATATGATAGACCTGTTTCTTAAAATTACAAAACATATTTTATTTTTTGGATCGAAGGGTGCGCTCATAGTTTGTTTCTTCACTGAAAGCACTCAAATTAACCAATTTTCTTCAAAATTCAAGAACATTGCAATTTTACAACGCTTTTTTTCCAATACCTGGACTTTCTGAGAAAACTTTTATTTAGGAAATGAAAGCATTAATCTCTACTTTATAAAGATGTTTGACATGGGGCATAAAGTATTAGTCAATAAAGTGGTATATCTACAGGGCCATTTTATGCATAAAGTGAACCTAGCCCTTTTGATAACCCTTTATTCACTGGTAAGTTGGATTTAAACAAAAGTTATAAAATCATACAATTGTTTCTTTATTTATTGCAGAATGTGTAGTTTTAGTAATGTTCAATTAATATTTTGAAGGTGGATCAACCACTGGTGTATCATCTTTATCTATGGACATTACCGTCATGTATAAATTGTTGAGGAATTACTCTGACGTTGCTCCTCCTGGAAATGGATGGGCGAAGGACCCTAAAGTAGAGCACATTACAGAGAGTGACGACATAGAGAGGATTCGTTTATATAGGAACAAGTACTCCCATGATTCCGGAAGTAATCTTGTCATAAAGGATGATGTTTTCAAAGTTATCTGGACTGACCTCTCCCAGGTGAGACATTTTTTTTACGTGTATCTGGGATGGTCTCTCTAACATGTAGGTGAGTTAAACTGTTAAAGGTCAAAGGAGAGTCCATCGCTGTCAATAATAGAATTTTCTTTGACAATTAAACATGTAAAAGTGCCGCGTACGTGCTGTATAGTATCATATGGCTTTTAAACACAAATGAGAAATCAAATATTAAACGTTCTTGCACTGGTGTTTTATGTAATGAAATATGAAGATAACGAACAGTTTTCAATCTGGAAAATCCAATGAAACGATACAAATTTGCAGCAGAGCAAACACGGACCTCAAAATTAATAGGTAGGATCAGGTGACATGGAGAAGTGAGCATCCCCTGCCGACCGGTCACAACCGCCGTGTATTTCTTGTCATGATCGGGAAAAAAAACGGAAAAATCCGTAGACAATTCAGAATATAAATAATGGCCTAACAATTAGTATGAAAAAAGTCAGTCAGCATTTGACTCTATGATAGGTTGTATTTATTCAATTTTAATTTAAAGTATTTGACATTGTCTAAGTCTATTCACCTACCCATGTACAACAATACCCATTGTCATTCTGTCGTCCCCTTCTCCCTTGCGTTTTTTTTTAAATTGAAAGTTATCGCTTCATTTTAGTTTTAAAACGCACTTGAAGATGGTTTAATAACAACTCTGAAGTATTACATGTATATGTAACCTTTATATATGCATGTTCGTACAAACGACATTTAAGCATTTAAATGCATGAATCAAAAAGATTAAAGAACAATATTTTTATCAATTGAAAAGAGAAACTATGTTTCTAAAATTTCAGGAGAATAAGTACTCTAGCAAGAGGAAAATTAATAAGAAATCAATATTATTCCATTTAGTAAAATTTGATACATAAAATACATCTGTAAGTATCTTTTCCGTCATATATTTTGTTTACTTATTAAAGACAAGTTCGTATCATCGTATACAAACCTATATATTTTTCCAGTGTATTATATCAAAGGTCCTTTTTTCCGTAAAGGATATAATTTAGAAAGATTTATTACCTGTTAAAAAGTCTAAAGAATATAAATGTTAAAAATTGTAGTTTCGCAAATGATGGT